GGCCGTACCAGCGAGGCCTCCTCTTAGGGCTGGACGGGGGAGCCCACTGTTGGGACTAGGCCCCTCTAGGAACCAGGGCTTGGGCGTGGAGGTCACAGGCACCCGAACATCCATAGGGGAAGAGAAGTGTGTGGTCGGGGGTGGCCCAGCAGCGTCTCGGGAGGGTCTGGGCCAAGTGAACATTGCTTGAAAGTCATACAAGCACACCAAGAACAGGACAGGGAGACGCGGCGCGAAGGGAAATGGCAGAGAATGTCTGTGGAGCGAGAGGGAGGAGCCGCGTGATCAAAGAGAGCAGACAGCAATGGCACCAGCTCCAGAAAAGGAGGTGCCGGACCAAAGCTACCAAGGAAGGTAACTCTCGGCATCAGAAATGGGGCGAGGCCAGGCAACATCCCAGAGCTCCACAAGAGCACAACACGGGATCAGAGAACATTCCGAAGTTCGACCAAGAGCACAACATGGAATCAGAGACGGGGTGACCCTGACACCATCCCAGAGCTCCACCAGGAGGAGCACGGCCCAGAGGAGAGACGTGTGACTTCATCTGCGCTGGGAAACACGGTTTCGGGGCAACGTCTCACTCTAAAACCGGTCTTAGAAGGATTAGAACTACAAACAGAATCATTTCACCCCACTGTAAAAAATACACAATAAACTGCGTACGATGTACTTCAGGTACACAGGTCATCTGAAGTGTATTCTATTTTTCATGGCTTATTCTTGAGTAAAACAGTATTGCCAAAACACATGAGTGAAGGCCTCATTCTGTTAGGGACAAATGTACACACACAGCTGTCCTGGGTGAGGTCACATTGAGTCATAGCAAGAATCCAATCAGCACAGATAATGCCCCCAAAGAGGTGACCCTTCCACAAAGCAGAAATGTGCTTTACCTATGAAATGCAGGCATGGGGAAACAAAGCTGACAGAAACAACAAAACAAAGATGATACAAAACAAATGCCCCCCCCCCCAATATCTGTATAAAGCTATACATGTCTGTGTAACGTGAAATTAGTCCACTATTTCTGGTGAACCTCCTGATGTTTTCTTTTGCAACAAACAGCATTTTATTTTTCAGCTTATTCAATCCTAGCAGCTATCTGTCTTGGTGAAGATCTGCTTTCTTTCCCCACATACGCCTAGAGACTGTCAAATGGACAACTTTCTGATCACCACTTAAGGCCAGAATCCCAAAAGGGCCCATTATTCTGAGTGCAGCTCAGCCATGTCACCAGGTCAGAAGAGCCAGAACCCAGAGGGAGAACTCAGCCACACACTCTCTCAGGACGGAGGAGCAGGGCATTCTAGCTGGCAGAATTTTGCAGGTGCTCTATAGCTGGCAGGTGATGATACAGACCTTTCATCACAATGGCAAAAGATAAACACGGGAGTGATGGCTGGTGATGGAACCGAAGGAAGAAAGCAGGAAACGTGGATGTGTTCCTCGGGGCTGACACATTTACCTGGGGTCCGAATGGAGTGAGTGATGGAGAACGGAAAGAAGGCTGGGCCCACCCTGTGAGGAACACAGGGAGGCGGCGGCCAGGGCATGCTGTAGCCAGCAGAAGGCGAGAGCACGGGAGGAAGTGGAGATGCCATCAACACCAATACAAACCCGCCTGGGCGAAACAGGGGCTCGCCCTGTCAGCTCCCAGACTCACCTTTCGCAGACGACAGGCCTGGCCTCGGTGGCCACAGGACCCAGGGAGGAGCAGGCCTGGCGGGGGGGCGGGGCGATGGGGATGGTGGCATCCAGGGAGCCACTCTTTCGATGGAAGGCGTCCTGGGCTAGTGCTGCGCTGGCCGCTGGGGTCCCCGGGCCGTCCCCGTCCGTGGGGCAGGAGCCAGGCTTGCTGTGGCCAGCACCTGGCGGTAGCTCGGGGCCCACTGCACCCTGCAGGGACAGCTCCCCACCCAGCTCCACGTCCAGGGTGGGTGACGCGGGGGGTGACACTCGGGGCTTGCGTTTAGTGGAGGCGCCAGAAAGCAGCTTCAAAAAACCCTTTTTTTCTTTCTAGAAAAGAAAAATGAGAACATTAGCTGGAGAGAGACAAAACTACTGCAGTCGTAACCTGCAGGGCCTCAAGGTTTCAATGTTTGATCTTTTAAAATTACGTTGCTGATACCTGGTTGTTCACACCCAGGTCACCAATTTTGAGTGGCGCTGACCCTACATCCCTCTCGCTCCGCCTGCATGCTCTTGTTAGTTGCGGGCAGTCCGCGTTCGCTGCTGCCTCCTGCCCAGCTAAGACAGACAAGAAAGACGCCCCGCAGCAAGACACACCAGGGCACATCGCGGGTTTGGTAAAAGCAGAAGTAGACCTTTTAGGGTAAACTGGAAGCCTCAGGTGACGGTGTCCTGAAACTGCCTGTCCTGTCTCTAGGGGCTGTGAGAGGCTGACTGCGTGCCAGGTGAGAGCGGACCTGGTGGTGCTTCTGCCAGCCAGGCTGCACCACGTGCCTGGGAGGGCCGGAGTCTAGCACCACCCCACTTCTCACACCACTGACTCAAGTAGACGATGAGCCAGGAAGACGAATGTCAGGCCGCTTCTGGTACGCAAGGGCTCCCTTAAGTAGGACGCAGAAACAATGCCATGCAACAGTATGAAAGGCTTCGGCATAGCATGGGCGTGACACCGCTTTTTGCAAGCAAACGTACCGATACAGGCTGTTCCAGCAGTCCCGTTCCACAGACACCACCTCCTGAGCTTTTCTCTTTTGATACTTCCCGTCTCTGCTCAGCCAGGAGCACCAGGTCTCAAGCAAGCTCCCCTCAGCCCCCACCCCAAGGCATCGACGTCCTTTCTGACCTCCACACTTGAGGTCATCCTTTTAAAGTGAGATGCCGACGACATCAGTACAGCCTCCCAATGGAAACAGTGCTTGAAAGTGAAGCATTTCATAGAGACATTTCTTTCGAAAACCCTATAGGCGAATCGGAATTATGAAGGCCCACTTAACAGGGAAAGAGAATTATCAGGGACCCGCTGAGGCATTTTCTTGGGAACACAAGTTACTCGAGGGAGCAACAGTAAAGATCCCCTGGCAAAATGAGTCTGAATTCACAGCACAGCCCCATTAGAGACGGCGCAGCCGAAAGCAGACAAGGGCAGGCCTCCTAGGACACCGCACCTCGGTTCCAGCCCCCAACGCAGCTCCTGCACACGCCAACCATGGCTAGAAATGGGAGGGCCGGGACAGCCTGGGGGTGCCCAGGCCATCTCTGCCCCTGCTGGACCTTTGTTTCTTCAAAATCCAACAGCAGAAATGAAAACTAAAATTAATGCTCGGTCAGGCTCAGCGGCTCAGCCTATAATACTGCGCCTTGGGAGGCTGAGGTGAGTGGATTGCCTGAGCCCGCGGGTTCGATCCACCTAGGCAACTTGGCGAGACCTCATCTCTACAATAAATCAAAAAGCAGCTGGGCGTGGTAGCGCGCGCCTGTAGTTCCGGCTACTCAGAAGGCTGAGGCGGAAGGATCGCCGGAGCCCAGCAGGTCGAGACTTCAGTCTGGGCGACGGAGTGAGACTCCAACTCAAAAAATAAAAACAAATTAATGCTCGCTGTGAGCGAGCAGAGCCAGGGACGCCCCGCCCCGCCCACTGAGGACCATTTTCCTGCACTTCTCTTCAAGGCTGGCCTTGCTCGAGGCCACCGCTTCTAAAGGGCTGCTACGTGCGTCCCAGTAAGCACCCTCACAAGCGTGGGCTCCCGCTGGGAGGAGTGACGGTGCCATATATCCTGGTGTCACTGGCACCCAGCCCGCACTAACCAAAGCTGAGCGGTCAAGAGAGAGGGACAAGGAAGAGGCAGCTGGAAGGAGGGAAACTACTTAGCTAGCAACAGGGCTAAGGAAATAGAGGAGGGTATCAGGAACTCTCCAGACCCAGAGAAAAGGGAGGCTTTCCTCTACACAGCGCCCCTGCCAGGCCGACCCAACACCTGCCCATGCACCACCACCTCTTGGAGAGCTGAAAGCATGGCTGAGGGATAGCTGCACAAAGTGGCGTCCACTGCCGAGGGTGCAGGTAGTGGCGATGCCCGGCTGTTCCTGCCACGATGTGAGAGGGCATGCTCTCATCCCCAGGCCCCACGGGGCCAGTGGGAACATCAAGTCCGTTGGCAAATGACAACCTCAGCAAGCCACAGTTAAGATGCGCCCAAGTGCTCAGGACTCAGAGATACCAGAACACAGAACGGCACGCAGGGAACTGACTCCAAGACAACTAACAGGAAAGACCCCTCAGTTCATCTGCCACCACTGAACACCTTCCAAACAGCCGCCTCAAGGACTTCTGAGCGTTGTGCCATCACCATCAGCCAGTGCGGACAACTACCAAGTAGCAGCGGGACCGCGGGGAACGAGGGTGGGCGCCAACACGGGAAGATGCCACTGGGTTCCTGGGAGCTGTGGCCCAGCGCCAGTCTAGTCTGAGGCTTCCCATGGGCAGGACACTGCCACTCCAGACAGAGCGCTGCAGACCCAGACCCTTGTCATCTGAGAGCACCTCTGATTCTTCAACATCCAACAGCAGAACTGAAAACCATGAATGAGCTAATAAAGACTACAGTAAAATTTAAAAAATGGAATGCCTACATGCAGGAAAAAGGGATGCTATTTTTTGATATAAACTTAACACTTCGTCTCCTGAGTCTTCCAAGAAATCTTTCTCAGACGATGTTTTTATGCTCCTCATTTTCTCTTCTGAAGATGTGATGACTTAAAACAACACTACACGTCGAAAAAGCACTACCTGGGCCTGAAGGTGACTAATGGGCAACCAGGACGAGCACTTTCAGCGTCAACCTAGCACCTTTCCTTCTTTTTTTTTGAGCTAGAGTCGCACTCTGTCGTCCAGACGGGAGCACAGTGGCTCACTCATGGCCACGATAGCCGCGACCTGCTGGGCTCAGGTGATTTTTCTGCCTCGGCCTTCCAGGCAGCTGGAGCCATAGGCATGCGCCACCACACCGGGCTAATTTTTTTTTATTTATTGTAGAGACGAGATCTCACCAAGTTGCCCAGGCTGGTCTTGAACTCCTGACTCAGACAATCCTTTTGCCTCCACCTCCCAAAGTGCTGGGATTATAGGTGTGAGCCACCACACCTGGCTAACCTAGTACCTTTCTATTAGTCATATGGCCAAGGGTGAGTACAGCATGGAGAACATCAAAGCAAAAGTTTTATAAATCACTAAAATTGATTTGGGCAACTCACAATTAACAACATTTTCCCACTGAGTCTTCTTTAGTCGCCTCTGTCCTCAGATGTTAACAGAAAGTAACAAAAGACAGGCCATCTTCCCGGACCACAAATAACCAACAACCTGCAGTCAGGCTCCCAATCATCAGGGTCACTGTTCTCAGGTAAGAAACCCTAAGCAATGATTGACATACCTGTCTCATAATACTCACTCACAGACACTCTTGTGTCCAACAGCAAAATAAGAACCAGAGCAAAGAAAATGGCCAGTAGGGACTTTCCAGGAAAAGTGTTCAGAATAGAAGAAAGTGATTGCTTAAAAACTGGGCAGGAGCCGGACTCGGTGGCTCAGTCTGTAATCCCGCGCTTTGGGAGGCCACGGTGAGTGGACTGCCTGAGCCCGCGGGTTCGAGACCCGCCTGGGCAACTTGGCGAGACCTCATCTCTACAAGAAATCAAAAATCAGCTGGGCGTGGTAGTGCACGCCTGTAATTCTGGCTACTCAGAAGGCTGAGGTGGAAGGATCGCCGGAGCCCAGCGGGTCAAGGCTGCAGTGACCAGGAGCGGCCACTGCACTCTAGTCTGGGCGACGGAGTGAAACTCCAACTAAAAAAAAAAAAAACAACAAAAAACAAACTCTGGGAAGGACCCTCTGCTTAAGAAAACTAAGAACAATTAGCCAGGTGCAGTGACTCCTATCTGTAATTCCAGCTACTTGGAGGCTGAGGGAGGAGGATCATTTGAGGTCAGAGGACCGCTTGAGGTCCACTTGGCCAACAGCAAGACCCCGTCTCTCAAAGACAAGCCGACTGGAAGAAAACCTATGGCTGGCTCCCGGGAGGAAAGAGAAGTCGGGAGTTTGGGCAAGGCCCGACCGTAGAACGCTCTTTCAGGCACAGACCCAGGACGCGGCAGAGCACGCGCCACCCGGAGCCTGCACCTGCTGACTCATCCGGGGGGAAGGACAATGTCTGGCAAGACCCTCCAAATGCCTCTGGAGTTGGGGCAGGAAACGGAAGCGCCGGGGGCGGAGAAGGCACAGCTCCTCTTCTGTGGAGCTCAGGGCTGGACTGCAGAGAGTACGAGACGAGCGTGCTAGTCAGAAAGACTTCTTTGTTTGGGCTGAAGGCTTCATCTATCAAAATAGTATGTTATCTTTTGGCATACGGGGGAAAGGCATACATGCACTGCAAGTTTTGGGCAAGCCTTAGATCCTCGGTTTGGACATCTAGATTTTCTCTGACTTCTAGATAAATATGTACAATTAAAACTTTTCTATAGCAAGGAAACACAATAAAAGACATATACATAGGTATCTCACAAAGATTTGGAAACACATTTGCCTGGAGATCAGCTGATCACAAGGCGAAGCCTCTGAAGTCACAAAATGTCGAGTTAAAGTTGCGAAGCTGATGACTACCGAAGGTCTCGGGGGTCTCACAGAAAGAAGAATGTGAGCGGCAGAAGTCCCAGGACCTGACCCAGGAAAAAACGGAAGCCATACAGACAGCTCCAGATGCCTGTCTGTCACAGCAGAGCGCAGAAACCAGAGTCAGCTGGGATTTTAACTTGGGGACGAAAACACAGCTTCTAGAGACCACTAAGACTGCGAGACAGGACTTACAATGAGAGCCCAGGCAGAAGAGGAGATGCAGCCTTTTTGTGTGTCCATGGAAAAGCTGTGTACCTCTGTGGACACGGGTAGCGTCCCCTGTGTACCCGGAGAAGCCGCTTGCCTCTGTGGACTCGGGCAACAGCCCAGTGCAGAGCATCTGGGTACTGAGGAAAGGCGAGGGCGACAGACATACTGTCGTTGGAGGCCACGCCACACACTGATGGTGGTTTAGGCAAACGGATGACAATGATCACAAAACGATGAGGAAAGACAGACATACTTCGGCACTGCCAAACACCTCGAGAGTAGCTAGAAGTCACAACTAAAGCTCAGGTGTCAGATACACTTTTCCCTTGGCTTGCCGATCATTTAATCTCACAGAGAGTGGAGCCAACGGCGATGTAATTCTGATCACCTGGTGTGTGTGGGGGTGGGGGCCAGGTAGAGGCCAGATGGGGTGGAGAGGTTCTGCTGCTGAAGCAGAAATACCCAGATCTCGGAGGAAAGCACAGAGAAGCCGTCCAGAGTTGGGGCTGAACGCTCACGCGTAAAATAACTGATTTTATTTACTTATTCATTTATATATATATATTTTTTGTTTGTTTGTTTGAGTCGGAGTCTCACTCTGTCGCCCAGACTGGAGTGCAGTGGCTGCTCCCGGCCACCACAGCCTCGACCTGCTGGGCTCCGGCGATCCTTCCGCCTCAGCCTTCCAAGTCGCTGGAACTACAGGCGTGCGCTACCACGCCCGGCTGATTTTTGGTTTATTGTGAGATGAGGTCTCATCAAGTTGCCCAGGTGGGTCTTGAACCCGCGGGCTCAGGCAATCCACTCACCTCAGCCTCCCAAAGCGCTGGGATTACAGGCTGAGCCACCGAGCCCAGCAAAACTGATTTTAAATGTTCAAAAGAATACATGCGTGCACGACCTGAAACTCAAAAGGGAAGACATTCCAAGAGGAATGGAAGGCTCTCAGAAATGAAATTCTAGCCACCCGATGGCAAATTGCCCCTGCAGGTGAAAATGAAGCAGGTCTGAAGGTGTGGATGTGGCCCCTGGGGAACGGCCTAACGGCTCCTGTTTAAAGGGCAGTCACACAAAAAAAAGAGAGGGAGAAAGAAGAGCCAGGTACAAAGTATGAGCTTAAGCTTGCCCAAATGTTAAAGAGGAAAAAAATTAAGCGCTGATTTAAAGTTATGTTTGAAACAAGAACAACACACTGGCTGGGGTGCGTGGCGGCTCTCAGACGGCAAGAAGAGAGGGAAGGGCCACACTCAGGCCGCAAGAGGGGAACCAGCGCTGGTGAGCGGGAACAGGGGCGGGGAGACCAGGGCCGAGGCCAGCCATGGGCCTCAAGGCTGCATCCGCCTGGAGCACAGGGAAAATTAACACCCGGAAGGCAGCGACGGCGGGGAACCTGGGGCGGGACCCACTCAGCAGGCAAGGAAGGGCGAGCGTGGCGCCAGCGGCAGCGGCCAGCAGATGCAGCACAGCACTGTGCGGACCCTGGGGAAACGCCAGAACAGGCTGGGTGAAAGGCCCCCACACCCAGGAGGGGAAGTGAGACGCGGAGAAGACTCTCGGGAGATGTCTTGTCTGCTGACTACAGGGAAGGGTGGGGACGAGGCCGCCCACGACCTCGCCCGGCACCTGCAGCTCCGCCCAGGACGTCTCTGTGGACGTGACGGGGCGTGGGCCAAGGTCGCCCTGGTCAGGCGCATGTGTGACGAAGTGACCACAGTCAGGCACTTGCTGAATGGACGTCAACCAGAAGTCTCTTTAGTGAACTTGGGACATGAAATGGGGCCGCGGATTTAAGGAGGGAAAATCTGAAACCTGTGACATGAGGAATAGGTGAAAAAAACTGCCGGGCTCGGTGGCTCAGCCTGTAATCCCGCGCCTTTGGGAGGCTGAGGTGAGCGGATTGCCTGAGCCCGTGGGTTCGAGACCCGCCTAGGCAGCAAGACCTCATCTCTACAATCAATCAGAAAATCAGCCGGGCGTGGTAGCACATGCCTATAATTCCAGCTACTCGGAAGGCTGAGGCGGAAGGATCGCCGGAGCCCAGCGGGGTCGAGGCTGCGATGGCCGGGAGTGGCCACTGCACTCTGGTCTGGGCGACAGAGTGAGACTCCAACTCAAAAAAAAAAAGAGAGAAAAACTTCAAGACTCTAGCCTCCAGAGGAAGACCCAAGGGGACAACCTTGCAAACGCTTCCGGGCAGCATGCAGAAAGGGAGTCAGCATTTCCCACGTAATCCCTCAAAACAAGAACGGGGGCTGGAGGGCCGGCTGAGGCACACTTGCCTGAAGGTGGCACAGGGAGTCGGGGACGGGGCTCTCGCAAGGTCAGCGGCCACTGGTCGGGGCTGGGCATTCCTGGGGCGCCGAGTCCTCTAGTGGTTGGGGCTGTAACAGATCACCACACCCTGCAGGGAGGACCAGACCCCCGAAATCCAGGTGCCGACAAGTGCCCTCCTTCTGGAGGCCAAGGGAAGGCCCGCCTCCTTGCCTCGTTGGATGCCGCCGGCTTCCTCATTCCTCGGCCTGTTTCACACTGTCTCCCTTTGCTTTAAGCATAACGCCTCCGTCCCTGGCCCTGAGTCTCCCAGTTTCTTTGTATAAAGACCCTCAGGGTCACCCTGAGCCCACCCGGACAGCGACAGCCCGCGATAATCTCCTTAACTCAGGGGTCTTGATTCGAGCGCAGCTGCAAGGTCCTTTCTGCTACATAATGAAACACTCTGAAGGTTCCAGGGCTTAGGCGGGGACACATATGGGAAGTCACTGTCTTGCCCATCTCGGGAGCCTTCCAAGCCGCAAAGCTCAAGAATCTCGCCCCAGGAGGGTCAGGCTGAAGAGCCCTTGTCCTCAGCAGTGACAAGGCTCAGAGACACGTTATCCCTGCCTTAATCTAAACTAGAATAATAACCCTTTAAAATATTTAACAAGGTTGAATATGTCTACCTAAGTACACTTTCTTTTTCGAGTTGGGAGTCTCATTCTATCGCCCAAGCTGGAGTGCAGTGGCAAGCTCACAGCCACTCCAGCGTCGACCTGCTGGCTCCAGTGATCTTTCTGCCTCAGCCTTCCAAGTAGCCAGAACTGCAGGCGTGTGCTAACGTGCCCAGCTAATTTTTGACTTATTGTACAGATGAGGTCTCGCCAAGTTGCCCAGGCTGATCTTGAACCCGCGGACTCAGGCAATCCACTTGCCTTGGCTTCCCAAAGGTTTGGGATGACGGGCTAAGCCACCGAGCCCGGCCCACATTTTCTTTTAAAGGTTAAAAAAGCTTTATTGGGAAGACTATAATGACAGTGTGATAAATGGAATAGCCAGGTTGTATAGGAAAGGACTTGGAGAATCTGCTTCTGAGGCTTCTCCACCATGATGACTCCATTTAATGTAGTTAATTATAACCATGAACAGACACCAATCATTTTCAAAATCGCTCATGTTAACCTGACAGTTAAATATTAACTTTTTAGTGCTCTATAAAGTTTATTTTCTTATTAACTACCGTTTACAGGCATACCTAACCATTTAAATAGAGCAACGTATATGTGCCTGGAACCAGGTGGCTAAGAGTTGATGATCACTCTAGCACTGCTCTAGGGCTTTAGGGGAAATGCATGAAGGACTGAGGAAAAGCCACAATTGCAACAAATGACCAAGACATGTTATCATCTCTTCCTCTTCTGGTCACACATGATCACCATTGGTTTCTCTCACCTCCAAAGACCCTAAGTTAATCTTTCCAACACAGATTTCCATTAACATGTTCTTTAAAATTCAGCCCCAAACGGGAGATTAAAAAACAAAACAAGCCAGGCTCGGTGGCTCAGCTGATAATCCCGCGACTTTGGGAGGATGAGGTGAGTGGATTGCCTGAGCCCGCGGGTTCGAGGCCCGCCTGGACAGTGAGACCTCATCTCCACAATCAATCAAAAAATCAGCCGGGCGTGGTAGCGCATGCCTGTAATTCCAGCTACTCAGAAGGCT